GCAGGTCCCCCAAGGTCTGGAATCGGCCCTTCTCCACAATCCTCCTCAGGGTCCGGTCACCTCTTCTCGTTGTGCAACGTTTCCTGCCACACTTTTCCCTTCCCACAGACTTCCCACTGAGGTGCCTTGATACAGCACTCTGGGAACAGCCTATTGGTTCAGCAATTTCTTTCTGTGTCTTACCCTCTTGCTTGAGGGTGTCAATGATGGCCTTCTGGACAGCAGTCAGGTCGGCAGTCTTACCCATGATTGTGGTTTTGAGTAATGAACAAGGCTGGGAGTTTTTAAAAGCCTCAGGAATCTTTTGCAGGTGTTTAGAGTTACGTCGTTGATTGAGATGGTTAGGTTAATAGCTTGTTTAGAGAACCTTTTCATGATATGCTAATTTTTTGGGACAGGCATTTTGGGTTTTCATGAGCTGTATGCCATAATCATCAGTATTAAAACAATTAAAGACCTGAAATATTTCAGTTGGTGTGCAATGAATCTGAAATATATAAAAGTTTCATTTTTATGATTACATTATGGAAAATAATGACCTTTATCACAATATGCTAATTTTTTTAGAAGGACCTGTAGTACGATGTACATAAATTCGAAAATGAAATACCAACATTATTCCAAATCTCCCCGATCTGGGGCAATATGTCATTTGAACCAGGTAGGAAAGATATGGGTTTTAAAACATGGTATACTAAGGGTTTATGCAAAATCGCAGATTTATTTGATAAAGGGATTATGGTCAGCTTTGAAGATTTGAAACAGAAATTCGACATTCCAAATAAACATTTTTTTAAGTTTATGCAAATCAGAAATTTCATCTTGAGTATTCAAAAGTCTCTAGCATTACCTACTCTTACTTCTATAGAAGAGCTAGCAACGAATTGCCATTTGAGAAAGGGCCTAATATACCGCTTTTATAACAGCATCAAAGACGGCTCCCAGTCATCCTCAGAACACAAAAGAATGGCATGGTGTGAGGACTTGAAATGTAATACATCAGTAGAGGAATGGCAGAGGGCCTGTCTGAAGGCACAGACACAATCTATTAATACTCAATTTAAGTTAATCCAACACAAATGGCTGATGAGAACATATGCTAAATGTGGAGATAAAAGCAATTTAATTCATTGCCTTTGGGAATGTCCTGAGATTCAGGAAATTTTGGAAGGAGGTTTTGGATAAAATTTCACTTATCGGTACTAAACTTAATCCCTGTCCAAGGATGTGTATCCTAGGAATTTTTCCGACTCAAACCCAATTAAGTAAGGTTGATCAAAAATCCATAATCTACTGTCTGGTGCAGGCCAAATATAGTATAGCAAGATCCTGGAAATCTATAAACAGACCCCAACTAAAAACTTGGATGTCTACATTATCAAGCTCGCTTGCCTTGGAGAAACTTACCTTTATGATTAAGGGTAAATATGATGTGTTCAAAAAGATAAAGGGATAAGCTTTTGCTATTCTTGGAAAATATGAATACTCATAATGAGGAATGACTGAATGTAATCTAATTTCGCTTATGTTCTTATTCTTATAGTGGCTTTAAGTCAGTTATTTTCATGTTAATTCCAAATGTACTCACTTGCTCGAAAAATGTATGAAACTGAACCACTGATGACTGGATGTCTAGATCTGGGGAGAACAATGGTTTCGCCTCACATTTAACATGGGGATAGTGACTAAATCTCATGGACTAAGTCTCACCATGCATCCCTGAGATAAACTGAAAGTACTTTGTCTCACTGCAATCAACTCATGTTTGTCACCTTGAATGTTTGTGTGTTTTCGTTGGGTTTGGTCTAGTGTTTTGTGCATTTTTGAGTTACTTGTTTGTATGTCTCTTCTGAAATATAAAAAAACAATAAACAGATCTTTGAAAAAAAAAAATTATACAAAACAATTCAAAGGGGCGGCTGTGGCTGAGTGGTTAGAACAGTCGTCCTCCAATGCGATAGTTGGGGGTTCGAATCCACCAGCAGTCACATGCTGAAGTGTCCCTGGGCAAGACAATGAACTCCTCATTGCCTCTGATGTGTGTCCCATCAGTGTATGAATGTGATAAAGCACGGATTAGTCTCTTTAGAATGATTTGTTCAATTAGTCTTTGTATAGATCTAGTAGAGTGCTGTATGAATGGGTAAATGAGGACACAGATTTTAGTGTAAAGAGCTTTGAGTTTCTGGATTAGGTAAAAAAGGAGCTGTTTAAAGTACAGTCCATTCAAAGAACATCCTCTAAGAGTGGCGGCTGCGTAACAGGAGTAGTCTAGTCAATACTCGATCAGCAGCAACATCAGTGCCAGACCACATAGAATGGAAGAAAAACAAAAAGGCGTAATCCAGGCTACGCTATTAGTTAGCCACAATAGATGCGAAGGACGCTACATCGGCTAATAAACTTCTGATCAGCACGTTTGGTCCAAAAGTTTACTTAACTCCAGACTGATGCAATCAGCAACCTCAGATCAATGTTTGTGTAGGACCACAATGTGTTCGGTTGAGACAACAGACAAACTGAAGGAAATGAGGATTCAAAATCACCTAATGTAACTTTTTTCATGACAGCATGTCGTTTTATTCGGCTAGAAAACAAAAAGTGAGCCCTCCTTTTGCTGCCTAACCTGGATGAAGATTTCTGCTCTTTTTGTTCAGATGCTCAGTACTGACATATGACAGAACATTTCAAACATCACCAGACTATCCCTTTAAGAACCATCCATTGACATCACTGATGGATGTGTGCTGGTCCATACCTTGGCCTGTTTGCCCTCCATGACAGCAACACACGAGTTGGTGGTTCCCAGGTCAATGCCGATGACTGCGCCCTTGATGGCTTCAGACCTGAAACAGACACACCTGAGGATGATGGCCGGCGTCTAACCGTGACCCCATGCCACACTGACTTGACTGTAGCCATTTTAAAATTATGAGCAGGTCTGTTGTCCTGATGATACTCACGCATAGTCTCTTCTGGACAGGGCTCTGAGAGCATCAGGCTGGAAGCCACTCCAACATGCCTGTGGATCAAGACACATTTCTCTTAGACAAGTGAAGAAGTGACTTTGTTTAAAGTACAGAGTGGGTGGCAGCGGTTTGTCTAATGATGGCAGACTCCTGGGGGGCTGGAGGTCTATGAAGGTCACATCCGTTCAATGCATCCTGGAGGCGCCGCGTTTTAAAACAACTCAGACATTTGAGTCGAAGACATTTTAAAGTTCATAGGGCACGTGCATGTTTAAAGGCGGCGCGCGGAGACTTTTGAACCGCGTGAGCTGACGCATAGCTAGTTTAACAGCAGACTTGAGCTAAGAATTACACCAAACTCAAAAATTATATGAGCCATTATCGTCCAAAATGAACATATTCAATACGTTTATCGAGATCACATGCCGCTTCTTTAAAACCCAGAGGCCTGTCGTCTGATTTTAGCTCTGAAGTCGACTCATGCTAGCATGCTAGGCTAACCGCTAGCTGTCAAAATGTCTGACAAGAATGAACACCTGAGTTTGTAAAGCTGTTGAGTGTCTGTATGAGTCTCACCTTCCAGACGGAGGACGAGCCGTTCCTCGAGCAGTTCTTCAAAGGCAAAGTCCTTGAAACGCTTCTAGTGACGCTCAACATTTTGACACCCGGTTTAACAAGCTAATCAAACGTGACAGAAGAAACAACTTCAAACGGGTCTAATGTGTAAGAAGTGTCCTCGACTCGGTTCCAACGTAGGTTTGGACTAAGAAAGTCTCTGCGCGTGTCCAGGTAAAAGAACCTCAAGCTCGAGCCCAGCGCGACAGTTACACCTGAAACAGTGCTGGAAATGCGAAGCTGCTTCTGGAATTATCCAACACATGTTCCACCAGGACCCCGGGAGGGCTGTCCAATGTGCTGCCGGAATAAAACTTCAAGAACATTTTGTTTTAAAACATTTTGAAGCTCATCATTAACTATTCACATGGATTTACTTCACTCTATGATTCTAATGGATATTAACTTTGTATTTTTACGTGGAAACAAACCATTCGAAGTTGGATTTATTCTTAAAAGTATTTAAGGCCAGAAGAGGACAGACACACGCAGTGGGCATGTGAAGGTCATGATGCAACTGGGTACGAAATGGTTTCACGTGAGTTACATCAGATACGTCTGAGCATAGATATCATATAATCACTTTTATATCAGTTTTTATATGATATCTATGGATATTTAGGTATCGGATCGGAAGTTTTAAAAAGTGGATCGTGCATCCCTAGTTATTTGTAGTTCAAAAGATGAAACTCATTTTTGCTGAATTACAACTGTCAGGAGTCAGGGGTTGGATTCAGAATCAGCCAGACAACAAGGATGTAAAACAAAGAATACACTTTTGTTGTTTTGCAGCTGCTGGTGGGAGTCAGAATCCAGTTGCAGGAACACGTCTTCTCAGGCAGGTGGAGTGAAAGTCATCAGTCAGAGCTTGAAGAGATGATGTCACTGTAACCGGTGGGAAGGCAGCTGCAGAGGGAGGCCTTTAATGCTTTGGACAGCAGGGCAATGCAGGGTCGTGGTCCAAAGAGGTCAAGCTCAGGAAGTCAGAGGTCCAAGAATAAATCCAGTGAGCAGTCCGTAATCCAAAATCCATAGAGCAAAAGAAGTAGTCAAAACCAAGGTCAGACGAGCAGACAAAATCAGGCGAGTAGCACGCAGAGCGGAATCCTAAAGACGAGGAGTGAATCATGAACAAGATGGCTGGATCTCAGAATCAAGAATGGTATTATAATCTGGCAGACAAATACTTATTCTATGAAGTTTAACAGCAGCTTACATCCATCTAGGTTTATTACCGCCATATAAAGGTATTAGCACTTATAACTTCTTGATCCTCTTCTATAAACCCGTTACCCTCAGGAAATACATAAAATATTTGTGTCCATTTTTACTGGATCCTCATTCCAAATACACTCTTCAAAACAAACAATACTTGTTACTTCAGTTGCCATTTGGTCCAGCAGATGTTTCCTTTCAGCTGAATATTTACAACAGTCCAAAATAACGTATTTCACAGTTTCTGTGCTCTGGCAAAAGTCACAACGACCATGATCATGTTTCCCTACAACTATAAGCAGTGATGACTTCATGAGATTCTTTATAAATAAAATTGTTTCAATTAGGGGAAAAATATCAAACCAACATTCCTACTATCGCCTCTGGTTCCCTGTCAGATGAGGCAACTTTAAAAATGTCACTAGAACCTGATTTTTGTTTTGACTGTTTTTGTCCTGTTGAGCTCTCTGAATTGTCAAAAATAATAGCTTCGTTCAAAACTTCCACATGTCTGCTAGATCCCATCCATCCATCCATCCATTTTCTTCCGCTTATCCGGGGTCGGGTCACGGGGGTAGCAGCCTAAGTAGGGAGGCCTAGACTTCCCTCTCCCCAGCCACTTAGGCCAGCTCTTCCGGGGAAATCCCGAGGCGTTCCCAGGCCAGCCGAGAAACAGTCCCTCCAGCGTGTCCTGGGTCTTCCTCTGGGCCTCCTTCCGGTGGGACGTGTCCGGAACACCTCACCAGGGAGGCGTCCAGAAGGCATCCTAAACAGATGCCCAAGCCACCTCAACTGGCTCCTCTCGACGTGGAGAAGCAGCGGCTCTACTCTGAGTCCCTCCCGGATGATGGAGCTTCTCACCCTATCTCTAAGGGAGAGCCCAGACACCCTGCGGAAAAAACTAATTTCGGCCGCTTCTATCCGAGATCTCATTTTTTGGTCACAACCCAAAGCTCGTGACCGTAGATGAGGGTAGGAACGTAGATCGATTGGTAAATTGAGAGCTTCGCCTTTTGACTCAGCTCTCTCTTCACCATGACAGACCTGTACAGCGCCTGCTTCACTGCTGATGCTGCACCTATCCGCCTATCGATCGCACACTCCATTTTTCCCTCATTCTTGAACAAGACCCCAAGATGCTTGAACTCCTCCACTTGGGGTAGGACCTCCTCCCTGACCCGGAGAGGGCACTCTACCCTTTTGTGGCTCAAGACCATGGCCTCGGATTAGGAGGAACTGATCTTCATCCCGCCCGCGTAGCATTCGGCTGTGAACCGCTCCAACGAAAGCTGTAGGTCACGATCTGATGAAGCCAATAAGACCACATCATCTGCAAAAAGCAGAGACGCAATCCTAAGGCCACCAAAACAGATCCCTTCAACACCTTGGCTGCGCCTAGAAATTCTGTCCATAAAAGTTATGAACAGAATCGGTGACAAAGGGCAACCTTGGCGGAGTCCAACTCTCACCGAGAGCAAGCCCGACTTACTGCCAGCGATAATGACCAGGCTCTGACACCGGTCATACAGGGACCTAACAGCCTGTATCAAAGGGCCCGGTACCCCATACTCCCAGAGTACCAACCACAGGGTTCCCCGAGGGACGCGGTCGAACGCCTTCTCCAAGTCCACAAAGCACATGTAGACCGGTTGGGCAAACTCCCACGCACCCTCCAGGACCCTGCTGAGAGTATAGAGCTGGTCCAATGTTCCACGGCCAGGACGAAAACAGCATGCTCCTCCTGAATCAGAGGTTCGACTATCCGACGGACCCTCCTCTCCAGAACCCCCGAGTAGACTTACCAGGGATGCTTAAGAGCGTGATTCACCTGTAGTTGGAACACACTCTACGGTCCCCCTTTTTGAATAGGGGGACCACCACCCCGGTCTGCCAATCCAGGGGAACTTCCCCCGATGTCCACGCAATATTGCAGAGTCGCGTAAGCCAACACAACCCTACAACATCCAGAGCCTTAAGGAACTCCAGGCAAATCTCATTCACCCCTGGGGCCCTGCCACTGAGGAGCTTTTTAACCACCTTGGTGACCTCAGCACCAGAGATTGGAGTGCCCGACCCAGAGTCCCCAGGCTCCGCTTCCTCAGTGGAAGACATGCCGGTGGGATTGAGGAGGTCTTCAAAGTATTCCACCCACTGACCCACAACATCCCGAGTTGAGGTCAGCAGCACACCACCCACACTATAAACAGTGTTGGTGGCATACCGCTTTCCCCCCGAGACGCCGGATGGTGGACCAGAATCGCCTCAAAGCCATGCAGAAGTCATTCTCCATGGCCTCTCCGAACTTCTCCCATGCCCGAGTTTTTGCCTCAGCGACCACCCGAGCCGCATGTCGCTTGGACTGCCGGTTCCCATCAGCTGCTTCCAGGATCCCACAGGCCAAAAAGGCCCGATAGGACTCCTTCTTCAGCCTGACAGCATCCCTCACCGACGGTGTCCACAATCGGGTTCAAAGGTTGCCGCCGCGACAGGCACCGACAACCTTGCGGCCGCAGCTCTGGTAAGCCGCCTCGACAATAGAGGCACGAAACATGGTCCACTCGGACTCAATGTCCCCCACCTCCCTCGGAACATGTTCGAAGTTCTCCCGGAGGCGGGAGTTAAAACTCCGTCTCACAGGAGACTGCCAGACATTCCCAGCAAACCCTCACAATACGTTTGGGTCTGCCAGGTCTGACCGGCATCCTCCCCCACCATTGGAGCCAACTTACCACCAGGTAGTGATCAGTGGACAGCTCCGCCCCTCCCTTCACCCGAGTGTCCAAGACATGTGGCCACAGATCAGATGAGACGATGACAAAGTCGATCATCGAACTGTGGCCTAGGGTGTCCTGGTGCCAAGAGCACATATGGACATCCTTATGCCTGAACAAGGTGTTCGTTATTGACAATCCATGACGAGCACAGAAGTCCAACAACAGAACATCACTCTGGTTCAGATCAGGGGGGCCGTTCCTCCCAACAACACCCCTCCAGGTCTCACTGTCATTGCCCACATGAGCATTGAAGTCCCCCAGCAGAACAAGGGAGTCCCCAGGAGGTGCACTTTCCAGTACCCCCTCCAAGGACTCCAGAAAGGGTGGATAATCTGAACTGCTGTTTGGTGCATAAGCACAAACGACAGTCAGAACCCGTCCCCCCACACGTAGGCGGAGGGAGGCCACCCTCTCATTCACTGCGGTGAACCCCAACACACAGGCACCAAGTTGGGGGCAATAAGTATGCCCACTCCTGCTCGGCGCCTCTCACCAGGGTCATTTCAAGAGTGGAAGAGTGTCCAGCCCCTCTCAAGGAAACTGGTTCCAGAGCCATGCGTAGAGGTGAGTCCGACTATTTCTAGCCAGAACCTCTCAGCCTCACACACCAGCTCAGGCTCCTTCCCCACCAGTGAGGTGACATTCCACGTCCCAATAGCCAGCTTCTGTAGCCGAGGATCAGACCGCCAGGGTCCCTGCCCTCGGCCACCACCCATCCCACATTGCACCCGACCCCTTTGGCCCCTCCCACAGGTGGTGAGCCCATGGGAAGGGGGACCCACGTCTCTTCTTCGGGCTGTGCCCGGCCAAGCTCCATGGGTAAAAGCCCGGCCACCAGGCGCTCACCCGCGTGCCCCACCTCCAGGCCTGGCTCCAAAGTGGGGCCCCGGTGACCCACGTCCGGGCAAGGGAACAGTAGGTCCGTTTATTTTTCTTATTATCGGGGTCTTTGGGCTGCACTTTGTCTGGTCCCTCACCTAGGACCTGTCTGCCATGGGTGACCCTACTAGGGGTGTAAAGCCACTGACAGCATAGCTCCTAGGAACATTGGGACACTCAAACCCCTCCACCACGGTAAGGTGGCAGCCCAGGGAGGGGTAGATCCCATCCCAACCAGGCTATTTAAAGATATATTTCCTTTAGTTAATAACTACGTCTTCGATCTGCTTAATTTACTTCTAATAAATAGGTACCTACCACAGAGCTTTAAGATTTCTGTAATTAAACCTTTACTTAAGAAACATAACCTTGAATCCGAAATCCTAGCCAATTATA